AGCCGGAGACCAGATGGTCTTGGTCTTGAGAGGTTTGTCGAGGTTGAGAGATGCTTTCGGGGGACTTGATGCCAATATGTGACTTTAAAGCAGCATACACTCTAGCCCCACAACGGCTAGATCTGCCTGCGCTTCCCTGCGTTCTCTGGATTTTCTCCTGCAGCTCGACGCAGTCAATCAATCACGGATTCTTCATCTTATTCCATCTCTCCAAATTTCGCTTAGGCAACCACAGAAACCCGCATTTCGACCAGCCACAGTCACGGTCATCATTTTAAAGAGAGTGTAGCCATTCACGACCGAATAATTTTTCGATGTTGCGGTAGAAGCTCTTTCCAGACAGACGGCCTTGGACAACAATATCACTAGCTGAACTCGATCACAATGTCTGCATCTACCACTCCACGCGGTCCCCCTGACGTCTCGGCGATGAAGGCGCGCATCATCACCCACATGAACGCAGATCATCAGCTTTCCCTTCGTCTCTACCTACAACACTACTCCCATGTCCCTTCGCCCGGTACTGCCTCGGCTCAAATGTTGGATATCACGACGGAACACATGATTATCTCGTCAGCCTACGGACGACATGTTATTCAATTTGAGCCTCCCATGAAAAGCCTGATGGAGGCCAGGGAGAGACTCGTCACGATGCATGAACTCTGCCTCGAGCAACTAGATTTGTCTGCCATCGTGGTGAGCAAGTACGTGCCACCGGATCGGGTGTGGCAATGGGCGTTGTCTGGACTTTGTCTCTTGATTTTTACGACATTTCCTTTTCGCGAGTCCCTCAGGTCAGAGTCCGGATCGTGGATCTACCAGGTATGGAGCCTTGGTGGCGTAGCGCCCTGGCTGGCCGAACTGAGCTACACACTAGCCCCGGCGGTACTAGGTGTCCTGGTAGTTGTCCATGGCGGTGAGGCGGTGTGGTTCATTCAGAGAAAGTTGAGGCGCCACTGGGTAGAGTGGGGATCAGCAGCTTGGTGGTGCTGGGTCGTCGATTGTTGTATCGAGGGGTTTGGATCTTTTACCAGATTTGACCGGATAGTGAAGACAATGGAGATGGAGAAGAAAGGTGGTGGTCAGCATTGAGAGGAACGTGTTGGAGAGGAGGGATATCTGACTGTCTGGCTGGGAGAGGTGGGGTTTCTTTGGTCAAAGGGTCTAATCGATGTGTTGTGTAGGTAGGCTGGTATACTCGCTACTCTTATCGACCCGAGGATTACGCCAACGCATACATGACTTAGCTTTTTAAGATCCCCTCCGGTGGTTCTGAACCCATGTACCGAGTATAACTACCAGATATTGTCTTTCTCCAGCAAGGATCGGGGTCATGGGTGGGTGGTATGATACCAGGGGAATACCCCGCCATCCTCTCCCGCCGCCCTATCACGGACACATTCTGCCTGCCATCTGCCGAGCGGCCCGCAACCTAATCCGGAATTGGCGTTACTTGCGGATCTTGGCAGGGACCGTCGTGTTCCTTCGTTTCGCTGTCCCCGTATTATTATTACTTCGTACAGTTTTCCCGCTTGAGAATCACCTTCGCAACCTCCCCCCGTCCCTATTCCCTTTCACTTGTCTTCTCACCAGTACAGGCATTGATTCTCTGGTTTGTTAGAAACCCCGTTGCCATCATCGACAATGCGTTACGACAATAACCGGGATCCCGATTCTGGGATATCTTGAATCTGCAGGGGCGGAAAATTTCCCCTGTTTTCGAGCCGCCATGGAAAGTAAGGAACTTTTTCTTTGTGCCACCTCTCTTTTTGGGATGCTCTCTGACCCTTTGTGTTCCCCAGAACCACCGTCGTCCCACGAGGTCACTCTCGATGATGCCAGGGAACAACACAGCATCCTGCTGCGGGCCGCTGCTCTGTTTCGCAAACATGTCCTCGGCGTCTTTTCCGAGTTCTCCTTCATCAATTGGCACTACTTCTACTTCATCGTCACATGTTTGGTGTCTAGCCTCATTTTCTGGGGCTCGTCCACCCCGGCAAAGTCGGTGTCCTATATCGACAGTCTCTTTCTGTGCGTTTCGGCCATGACAGAGGCCGGCTTGAACACCGTCAATCTCTCGGAGCTGAATACCTGGCAGCAGATCATGCTATTTCTTCTCATCATCTTCGGCTCGGCGATTTTCGTCTCTTCGTCCATTCTCCACATAAGGAAACGAGCCTTTGAGAAGAAATTTGCAGAACTTGCAGAGCGACGGATAAATCGCCTCCACAGGCCTCGAACATTGACTCTCTCATTATCGAGAAGAGATCATGTCCATGACAACGAACGCGAGGCTGCCGTGGCCTCTGGCGCCATTCGTGGGCGCCCTGTGTCAAATTTCCACAAGGTGGACGAGCACAAAGCCTCGTCTAGATCGCGAGAACGTCCAGAACCCATCAGTCCGCATGCCGACGTACGGCGCAATTCGTCAGTTGATGGGACGATCGCTGGAAGCACCTCCAACGATCCCATTGCGAGCCACATCAGGTTCAAAGTCCAACACCCACCTAGTGAATATACCGAGACTCGAGCCCGGAATATCCGCCAAAGTACAAGTTTCTTCGAGGGAAGAGGTGTTGGTGCGCGGAGGCTCGACAATCATCCGCGCAATACGCAGCCTTTGGAATTCCCGTATTCGATGCCAGAATCGGCCATCGAGGACGACCTTCCCCCTGAGGGTCCACTAGCAAATAAACTCAACAAATACCTTGACACCCTCCATGGATATCTTGGGAGGAACTCACAGTTCCACCATCTCAGCGAGAGGGAGAGAAAAATGCTGGGGGGGATCGAATACGATGCAATCCGCTTGCTTTCCTGGCTTGTGCCGACCTATTTTGTGCTGTTTCAGCTCTTCGGCGCGCTTGGTGTCGGTGCCTGGCTCACCGCTAACCGTCCCAGTACGACGCAGGAGAATGGGTAAGCTACCTGACACAGTCGGACATTAGACAACGAAACTGACCCTCGATGTAGTCTCAACCCTTACTGGACTGGAGCCTTTTTCGCTATTAGCGCATTCAATAACAGCGGCATGGCTCTCCTAGATGCCAACGCCGTCGCTCTGAACCGGAGTTACTACTGCCTCCTGACGCTTAGTTTGCTCATCCTGGCGGGAAATACCCTGTTTCCTGCTTTTCTGCGAGGGATACTGTGGGTGTTCAAAAAGCTAATTCCAGAAGATCATCCCTCGCCAGACTGGCAGAGACGAAGGCGCACCATTCAATTCTGCCTCGACCATCCGCGAAGGGTTTACACGAACTTGTTCCCGAGCGCGGCGACATGGTGGTTGGTGGCCTCGGTGGTTGTTCTGAACACTATTGACTGGGTTGCGTTCGAATTGCTCAACATTGGCAATGAGGTGGTAGACTCACTCCCAACAGGATTTCGAATTGTTGCGGGATTATTTCAAGCCTTGGCTGTGAGGAGTGGCGGATTCTATGTCGTCTCCATACCAGGCCTGCGTTCCGGGCTGCTAGTGCTCTACGTTCTCATGATGTATTTGAGCGCCTTTCCGGTCACGATGACAATTCGAAACACGAATGTTTACGAAGAGAGGTCGCTGGGCATCTTCGCGGACGAACTGCCAATCTATCAAGAGAACGACGATGCTACGCGAGAGAACAAGAAGACAGGATTCCTAAACGGTCTCCGACGGACCATCACAATGACACATGGTGGCCCATCAGCCAACACTCCTGTCTGGACTCGGCAAGATTTTGTCCGACTCCAATTGCGATCCCAATTGGGCCACGACTTGTGGTGGATTGCCATCGCCATTTTCGCCATCACTGCCATTGAGACGGGCCAGTTTGAGCGTGACCCTGTCAGCTTCTCCACGTTCAACGTCATCTTCGAGGTGGTCAGTGGGTATGGCTGTGTGGGTATCAGTGTCGGCGTGCCGTGGAACAACTACAGCTTTTCTGGAGCGTGGCACCTCGCGAGCAAGCTGATCCTGTGCGCCGTTATGCTTCGTGGGCGCCACCGCGGGCTCCCCGTCAGCATCGACCGCGCTGTCCTGCTTCCAGACGAAAGCCTCGCCTGGGCTGAGGAGGAAGACGCCCACATGAGAACCTCGAGCTTTTGTTCTGGAGGGCCAGTGCTCTCGAGAGCGCACACATCTGCCATGACCTCCAAAGATGCCTTGGCGAGGCCCAGAACAGCCAGCTTCGGTGCGCCAGGGCCGAGCATCTTAGTAGCTGACGCGAGAGAACGAACGATCGAACAGGTTGCATGATGAGCCTTTTCAGAGATCACCACTACATCTCGCTCTATCCGAGCGGCAGCGGCCTTTTGTTTAGGCCGCAGGCAAAAAGGGTTTCGTCCCTTCTGGGGTTATGGGCGAACTTGACTGTCGAGTCTGTCGTGACTCAGACGTTCATTTTACAATCTGTCCTTGAAGTTGTCGCACTTTGAAAATCGCCTCTCCCATCTATCTCGTTTTTCGCTTTTTTTCTTGGTTGGGTTTCTCCCACATCGAATGATTCATATTGAGCAGCACTTCTAGCAAGCGTTGGATTTTTCCCCCTTTTTCTTCGAGGTTTAAAAGCACGTACAACGTCTTTCGTTACCATCAACATACATATGATATACTTTTCATCAGGATATAAATAGATTGACAGGGAAAATATACATCTGTGCTGTCCTATTCTATTCTTAACTCTAGGAAAATCAATCAACAAACAATATTGCCAGCTGAGTTCTTCCGGACACAGGGTGTAGGGAGGGAGGGAGTCGTGGTGGAGATCCCATCATTCGGTTGTTCATTTCGTCAGAATAGACATCTATCTATCTGCCTGCCTGCGTGCCTGCCTGCGATTTGATACCTCGGACCACGTTTCTTTCGAGACCCTCCTCCGTCTTTGGATTATAAAACCCTTCACGGGGTGTGGTGTGGCTACGGGCAAAACCAAAAAAAAAAAAAAAAAACCAAGGAAAGGTGGATCTAGCTTTCTAGCATTCTAGCCAGGTTGATTTGATTTCGATTCCCCGTGGGAGATCTTTCAAATAACGTTCTGCAATTGTTGGCCAGCCAGGAAGCGGCGCAGGTTGGCGGCGATCAACTTCTCGGCGTCCTGGGGTCTGCCGCCCGCGGCGTGGGGGCTGACGACGCAGTTTGGGGCGTGCCACAGCTTGCTGCTCTGGGGGAGGGGCTCGGTCTCGAAGACGTCGAGGGCGGCACCGCCGATAGTCTTGTCGGAGAGGGCGGTGAACAGGGCGTCCTCGTCGACCGAGGTGCCGCGGCCGACGTTGACGACCCAGGCGTGGTTGGGCAGTAGGGCGAGGCGGTCGGCGTTGAGGGCGTGGCGCGTGCTGGCGCTCCCCGGCAGGATCATGACCAGGGCGTCGGTCTCGCGCAGCAGCTCCGGCAGCGCGTCCTCGCCGTGGACCTCGACGCCGTCACGCACACCCGCCCGACGCGCCACCCCGCGCACGTTGGCGCCCAGCAGGCGCAGCATGGGCGTGAGTGTCTTTGCGATGTTGCCGAACCCCCACACCAGCACGTTGGCGTCGCGCAGCGTCGTGAACGCCCCCTTGGGCCGGTCCGGCTGCGGCCCGCCCAGGTGCCCCGGCCACTCGGGCGGGTTGCGCATCTGGTAGTCGCGCATCTCGTGGAACTTGCGCGCCGCCACCAGCAACAGGCCCAGCGTGTGCTCGGCCACGGTGCGGTCGTGCAGTCCCGACCCCGTCGTGATGGTCACCTTGGCCGGGTCGAAGCCCGCCGCGAGCACGTCGTTGGGCCCCGCCGCCAGCGACTGGATCCATTTCAGCGACTTCATGTGCCGCGCCGCGTGCTGGAGGTTCGTCGCCGCGTTCGACCACGTCACCAGCACCTCGGCGTCGAGTAGGTCCTCGGGGATCTCCTTCTTGACGTCGTACGGGTGCAGCGACACCGAGAAGCCCTCGAGGTCTTGCACGTTCAGGTGCAGTGACGTCGGGTAGAGGAGCTTCATCTTTGACGAGATGTGAGTGTGTTCTGCCTTGGCCTTGCCTTTTTCCTCGCGTACGCTTGGGATAATCAAGTGATGTGGTTGAAAGTTGGGTCCCTTTTTTTTTTTCTCTGTCACACTCTCTCACGGACTCTCTCTTTCTTTTCTTGCTCGTCTTATTTCCACAATCTATTCACCCTTTTCTTATCCTGCTTTTTTCTTTCGTGTCCTTGCTCTGCGGGTCGTGAAACAATGATTCTGCTCACAGCGTGCACACCGAGAATTTTTTTTTAAAAAAAAATGCTGGCACCACCAAAACGATGACGAGGTCTCTCTCCCTCTCTCTCTCTAACTTCGACTCGAATTCAAGGGAGGTCGGTGATCTAAATATGATGTAGATGGTGCCATAGGCTTTCTTTCTTAGTCTTGGGTGTCCCACGTACGTCCCTCACCCGCCGTCGTCGGCAGATATCGGCCCTCTCTCCGCATCAGGAGCTGCGGAGTTCACCCGGTTTCTTTCCTTCGCTGTCGCCATCTTGATTTTCAATTGCCGACGGGCCAGTCAGAGGCATTGGAGGGGTCAATTGTCGGGAAACTTTTACGCGAGAAGTGAGGAAAGGGTCCTCTTTTCGTATGGAAATTTGATGTGGTGATGTGGTGTAGTGGTGTAGTGGTGTAGTGGTCGGAGTTTGACATCATGTAGCTACATATGTTGCCATATTGGCACCTTCACAGAGATGCATCCAGAATGGAGACTTTTTTGCCAGCTAGAAACCAAATGAGCTTCAAATTCCCAATCGATTCCAGTATCCATGGGAACTCGCCAATAACCAGAAACCCAAACCAAAGTCTCGCTAGATCAGCTTTGTTCGCTATGCATATTCCGCCTTGAATGCCCTCGAAAATCAATCAGAACATAGTAGATATGTCTGGGAGACCCAGTGTAACATAGATGCCAGCCTCGTCTTGTATATGAGGCCATGGAAACCCACTCAGATGAAGGTCCCCTTTCTTTGCTTTTTTTTTTTGCCAGCCATTTCGTCCACATGTCGCTTCCAAGTCAATTTATCAAATCATGACCAGCGTCAGACAAAGATGGCAGAAGAAACTTGGAACACCTTGTCACTGCATATTCCTCTCCGTGTCTTCCTCTTTTGGTCTCCACACGGCAACGCTTATACCATTTTCACATGACGATGCATCGTCCCCCCTTCTTCCCACCACCACCTTCTTTGGTGGGCCTCGAACTGGTTGGCATGGGGGTTTGACTTCTCGGCACCTCTTCGCCTTTCTTTCTCTTTCCTTTCTTTTTCTTGCCAGATTCTGCGGAGGTAGAGTCTGATAAAACGCGTCTATCCCCACTCTCAATTGGGCTCGGGTCACTTCCAGCCCAAACTCGAGCTCGATGAGTAGGTATATGTTCATACAGCGGCTGTGGGACTGATTGACTCTGGGTGATCAAGAACGGAGTTTGTTGCGGGTGCGGCAGCGGCGGCCCCATTCCTTGCGCATCACTGTGTGACCTCGAACCTGGTTCGCCCAGCCCATACGAGCTAGATATGCTGTCAATAGTGTCGAGCCTGCCCATGCGAGGTCGCTGGTCTTGCATCGGTAGTGCAGCGTGTAGATTTGGTGTCGATGAAGAAATTGGAATTGAACGACCACTTCCTCTGGAGGTACTCCTCATCAACCCGTTGGGCAGATTGATTGCTTTGTTAAAAGACGGAGATCCTGGAATTCCAGCGGCGCCCCATGCACCTCGAGGTGGCGAGGGTGGCACGTTAGGACTGCCGCTCGACTCCCGTGCTGGAGCCCCTTGATGGGCAGAGCCATAAGTGACGATTGGCGGGACTGGCTTGCGCAGAGTCTGAGAGACTCGACGGTCCAGATGAGCCATCTGGTCAGCTGTCGGGGGGACAATACTGTATGACCCATTTGTTTGAATGGTGGGTGAAAGTACCGGCTGCGGAATCGCAGAATGAAGAGCAGGACCGTCGGGTTGTGGCAGATGCATCCGTTCCAGAGATGTCGGAGTTGGTGGGACGGGGTGATTAAGGCGCGCTTGCAAATTTGCTCCAGTCAATGTCACGGATCCTGATGAAGACGGTTTATGAGATGAAGCCGCGTCAGAAAAATGCGGTACATGGAGAGGGGCGTTCAGAGGAGACGGACGATCCGACGTGTGTGGCCGCTGGGAGACTGGAGTCTGTTGGAAGGGTGAAGTTCGACCTTCATGCGATACCGGCCTTGATGATTCTCCAGATACGGACGGGACAAACGGTGCATTCACTACAGGTATTTGCGAGGCTGGAGTCGCACGTTGATACGTCTCCGGTGTTGGAGCAAATGATTGATCGTTCATGGTGACTGGAGCACCATACAGGCCGACGGCATGCCTGGAAGCAGTGTCCATCACCACCTGCACCGGTTGAGGAGTCAAATGCAGAGGCTGAGGAGTCAAATGCAGAGGCTGAGATGGATGTTGCGGAGTCATGGGACTGCCATGTCCGAAGCCAGGGTGAACCTGCGGAGCATGGCCATTCTCGGGGATCCCTACCATTGGCATGGATATCCCTGCCATTGGACGCGCCTGGACCAAAGGTGAAGCCAATGTCCCCCCCGCTTGAGGATGCAGAGACCCTGTGGTATAAGGTGGAGGTGGCGACTCCCAACCATCCTGCTGTTGACCAGGCGAACGGTGATAGAGGGCATTGGCGGTGTCTTGTTGCTGCGCCAGAGGTGGTCTGGGAGGGTACCGTGCCGTAGAAAACCCAGCAGCTGTGGCAGATCTGTGTAAATTGGACGGGGCTGGTTGTGAGGGCAGTGGGTTTGAGTTGGCCAAAGCAATTTGTGCGTCAATGTCTAGTGCTGAGGAAGCCTGAGAGACACTTCTCAGGCGCGATCCCGGCGTCGCTGAAGCTGTAGTGACGGATCGACCGAGGCCGCCTCTCATGCCCCCTCTTGCACGCTCCCTGACTGTTCGTCTTCTTTCCATTGCCACCTCAATATCCATATCACCCATTCGTTCAATGAGTAATTCCGGCTCCTTATCGCCCACCTCGATAGTCAATTCGCGGTCTGCTCCTTTGGACGGCGAATAATCAAAGTCGAGTATCGAGAGGCGCGAGCCGTCAACCGGCATAGTTTCGTCTCCCAGTTCCTCCATAAATTGATCGACACCACCAGGGGCCACGACAACTAGCCTCTTACCGGCGAAAGCGCATGATCTATCTTCGCACCTCTCCACCCATTTGGCCGCCGTGGCGCCGTCAAGAGTCTTGATTCGTTCACATTTGACGAACAGACTTTCTCGCCAGTCGACCTTTGCTGCTAGCGAGTCATCCTCGATATCCTCGCTACTTCCAGATATCGAAGGCGAATATGCCATCAATGGTTCAATATGGCCCGTCGCAGAGGTAAGCGGAACCCTTCCTTGTAAGCGTTGTTCGTGCCGCTCGACGACCGAACCCATGTCTGGACTGACGTCCAGCTTTTCTGGTACGCCGTAAATCCAGAGACCGCTTCCAGCGAAGCCGGCCACAACGAGAGTTCCGCACACAGTCGCAGTGGGCGCGGTTGATGGCGCAGGAAGGCTAAATCGCCTGTTCGTCGTTGGGTTCAAGAAATATGCGACGCCGGTTCGGGTGTCATCAGTGCGGACGGCTCGGTAAGACATGAGGGTGTGGTCGTAAGCAAAAAGCCAGTTGGCGTCACCCTCTGTATGGCCCTGTAGCAACTCTGCGTGGCTGCAAATACTGCTAATTTGTGGAAAGAGAATCTGTGTGGTCCACATGCGACTGTGAACCTCTTTTGGCGACAGATCATTTTCGGTGTAGAATGGCGCGGTGATGACAACCGCCGAGGGTTCTTCGAGACTTTGGGTGCTGCCCACTAGCATCGATCCATCACCTGAGAAGCTCAAGATATCGACGCCTTCGCTCCTCACAGCTCGTCGGTCTGTGGAAAGAGCATTCGGTGCAAGGGAAAAGACTTCGACGCCGCCCTCATACGCAGCGGCCAGGACTGTTCCTTCGGGAGCCAACGCGATCGTCCTCGGCGGATTGTCCATGACCAGCACCTGGATATGTTTTACGCCATTTGGCGTCAAGTGATATACATTGGCTTGATGTTTGGAGGACAGGACGGCTAATATTGTGCCGTCATCAGTGATCGAAGCCGCCAAAGGCCGTCTCATCGTCTTCAGCTCATGGCGCACACTGATAGGATCTGTGACGGCGTCAATGACGTATATCCGTGAGGAACTGAGCGCGAGAATCGATTGCCCATTTGGAGAGAAAGAGAAGCGGAACGCTTCAGCTCCAGGCAAAGCGGCGGAGGAACTGGCATTGACGGATATCAGATTAATCAGAGTCTGGCGAGGTTGCAGATATGCCTCGAACAGATTTCGCCGGACCTCTGCCGCGAATTTTGTCTTGAGCCGATATAGGTCAAATTTCCGAAACGGACCGGTAATGACGGTGTTGGACAAGGCATAAGATGGACACCGAGATAGGTGATGGGCGTAAAGTTCTCGGTTTTGTGCTGCCCTATACCAGTTCTTGTTCAATATAGCCAATGACGCAAAGCTGTTGGCATCGACCGTCCATAGTATTCTAGGTCAAGTCAGCATCGACGTCGGAGGTCGGACAAGCCCTATTCTATTTATGGGTGGCGTACCTCTCCAGAACCTGGATAGGGAGGTTGTGAAAAGCGACAGCTTCCTTTCTCTGATGATTTGGCCCGATAGTATCAGGAGATTGGGGCGAGTCGTCGATTGCAACTGTCCCGATGGTTTGGGATATACCTAGCCCTGTCTTATGACTAGGATCCTGCACATCTTGGTCCAGTGGCTGAGGGGGGATATCATCCTCCCGCGAGATGGTCGAACCAGATTTCGATGGCGGATGTAGAATCATCTGCGGCGACATGACAGAATGACCGTGGGATAGGAAGGGATCAAAAGGCTACACATAAAACCACGAGAAGGATGACATGATGATGGTGGCCTCAATATTGCATGGCTC